TGATCTTAGTGTCTATTCCTTTAGAGTTTTGAGTTCTATCACGTTTTGGTCACCACGAGATCCACTATCACCATATACATCGTTGCTGCGTTTCTGCCACCACGGATCCATATGATGTCCGATTTGGGAGTTTAAATACAAACTGGAAACTTGAAGTTGTCTTCTTTCCAACGGATCTGACCTTGCAGCAAAATTCGATCTGAGCACTCCATAATCATCTTAGAGATTTCTGCATCTGCGGTATTAACAAGAGTTGTTAAATCTGAATTCGAAGGGGCTATGTGCAATAGCCTTATTGTTTGAGTTGTCATAGTACCAAATAAAACATTTAGGCCTCTGCAAAAAAAAGAAAGGAAAAGAAGAAGAAAAAGGAAAAAAAAGACAAGAGAAGGAGAAGAAAGAAGGGGCTGAATCTGTTGTTTTCTTCATGCAGTGCTAGTTGCTCTTTTTCAGTGACTACCTTTATGCCTAGGCTCATGTCTCTAGCATGGTTTAGCCTAGAACCAGCACAGTACCGCCGTTGAACGATTATTCAGCTTGCTTTTGTGACTAACGTAGTGCTAGTACTTCCTTACTTTAGCCCACCTATAGCTCCACATATTTCGACTATAGCTTAACATGTGTTGTTGTTGCGGCACTGATACACTTCATTCCACGGTTGCAGACTTGTTGGTTGTCGTCACCTCCTGTTTGGTTTGGTAAGAACTTGTAAGGGCTTGTTTTAACAAGTTGAGTTTGAGAGAATTACAACCGACACATCCTAGTAGTTGATAGGAGGATACATATTATTTTTGTGTTTCTTGTTTTCTAATAATCATGGCAGGTGATACGAAGATTTTGAGCTGTTAAAACTAGACCCTCATATTCAGGATGTCATTCAATACTTGCCATTATATGATGGTAAGTTTGATTCTAAAGCCTACATTGATTGGGAGCTAAAAGTAGATAATGAATTTGATGAGCATGACCTGTCTGAGAAACAAAAGATTTATATTACCTCTAATGTTTTGACTGAATTTGCTTTGCTAGAATGGAAACACATTCGTAGGCACAAGAAAGTTCTAGAATCTTGGGAAGACTTCAAAATTCTTGTTAGAGATACATTCATTCCTGCATATTATGTTGATTATTTGCTTGTAAAATTAGACAACTTGAAGCAGGGTAGTAAGACTGTGAAACAATACTACCATGATTTTAAGATTTGTATCATGTTTGGTGGATTAGATGAATGCATAGAAGATGTTATGAGTAGGTTCATGAGAGGGCTCAATTCTGAAATTCGAACCTCATTAATTAGCAAATCATTTTGCCATATTGGTCAATTGTTTTGTCTTGCTCTCAATGCTGAAAAAGAGATTCTATTATCTGTGAATACTTGCAAGAATGATGTGACCCATAATATCCAAAATTTGTCCACTCTGCATGCTAATGAAGAGCAACAAATAGTGGAACCCACTGCTGATTTTCCTTTGTCACAAAATAATTTACTTGCTGTTCCTTGTGATAAAGAGGACTTGTGTGCTGATGACTCTTTTACTCCTATGCCACAAGTGGTGAATAAGTCTTATACTTTTGGTTTGGAACCATACAAATGCGCTGAAGAAAAGCTTTTTCATCCTATTATTTGTGCACAAGATGAACTGAATTTGTTATCCTCTTTAAATACTTTAGGTTATATTGAATTTGATATTCTATGTAATCTAAATTGTCTAAAAGAGAAACTTAAATTTGATTCTAGTTTGTCAAATTTTAATCATTGTTCGCTTCATGCAATTGGCAAATGCGACAACAAAAGAGAATATTTGGTGCATAAAGTTTATATTTGCTCTAATCTTTAATATCCTTATGGGCTATAATTCCATGAACGAATAGGGGGCTGCACTAACACTAACAATGTCTTGCAAAGTTTTCCTAATTTTTTCCATATGCAACAAGGTAATCTTGAAGAAAGGGAGCATTGCTGGTTGTGGCCGTGCAGCATAGCCATCGCTCTGTGTTCCAACATCAAAGCAAACACTTTTGAATGACATTGGAGCGAGTCGAGGACGACTTGCAGCCAAGAAGGAGAGAATGATGAGGACATCTCCTGCCTGGATACATCCACATTAGCAACTTTTGATTCATAGGTGAAATAATCCTTTACCATGATTGTATTTGATACATTTAATGAATTAATGCTGCACCATGATGTGTGTTCATTGTCATTTTCAGAAACACATACATGGATCAAAAGAGAGTGTTAAAGACACATGGAAGGCATGGAGGACCAAAGAAGTTGATTGGGGGCCAAGTACAAGTATTCTCAACGTCCTCCACCAGGACACCATGTCACTTTTGGTCCAAGGAAAGAAAGAGATCAAATCCAACACGTTTTGGGGCTGGATTCGGACTCCAGGACAGCTCCAACTTGTGATGTTCACCACGGTCGCATACGGACTCCGTTTTGGGCGTTCAAATACTCCATGGAATCCTTATGAAGTCTACTTTCATATGGATTCAGACTTAGGTCTATATCTTGTCTGAGGCGGCCACAATGATCAAATTACTACCGAGAGGTTTTCTGTCAAAGGTGCTGCATCGCCTTATTTTGGCCCGATGGGCCGTGTATCAAGTCGGGGCCATTAGGGACGTGTCCTAGGGTTGGAGCACGACCCCAACACCCTAGTGGTCATCCTTCCACCTTCATATACCCCTTAGCCGCCACCAAGAACAGTTGGGTTTGTTTTGTTAAAAGTTTAGCCATTGCTACTTTCTTGTAGACGCGTGTGTTGACTAGACTATCCATTCTACTTGATTCAGAACCCCAACTTTGTAAGTTTAGATTGGTTTTTCACCTCCATATGTGCAATTGAGTTGCTTGTTCTACTTGTTCTTTCTTGTTCCTTGATTGCTTACAGGAATTACCCTAGTGGATTGGTTGATCGTGCTCGACAAGATCGCGATAGCCATTGGAGGTGGTGTATCGGTTGCTAAGGCGCAGCATCCTTAGATGGTTGTAGTCGAGCCATGAACGTCATCTCCATCCCCAAATCGAGTTATCCACCTTCTCTCATTAAAAGATCGGGATTCACCCTAGCGGCTTCATATCATAATGATTTCCTACATATCTGGAGACTGGTGTCACAAACTGCCATATCTGTCATGCTGACATCCCTATAGTTCAGAACGCCCCTGAAAGGTACGTTCATCGACCTTAGTTGCTCAAGCTCAGTCGCTGTGTAAGGTGGTGGCGGAACATACTGTTGTGCTTCGCTAATTCTACCTCATGAATCGTAGGGGGTATCATCTGCTGGCAAATCTGTGACTAGTCTATCCTGAGTCTGGATAGCATGCAAAACCTCAGTTGGTACTAGTAATGGCATACCATGAATAGATACTAGCATGGCATCAACCGATGTGGGCATAACATGTCTATCTCCCTAGTCACCATTTGAATTGTCCGAATCACTGCTAACTATATCACCGGTCCTGTCCTCGTCCTCCTGCTCCTCCTCTTCCAGTTCGAACTCGTTCACATCAAAATCATTGCTTATACAGCCTACTTGACTTGAATGAAACTGCTCATGCGTCAACTGACCGTCCAAATCCATGTTACCCTGAGCTCCTTCCCCTTCGACCCCTAATTCTTGCTCATTGCCTCCAACACCGTCAATGGGCGATCCGTCCAGGACACTCTGCATCATGTACCCATTCTCCACCACCACCTCAATCATGGGCATATTGGAACCTTGGAGCACCCTAATGTAGCGTGACTAGTGAGCAGGGTCACGCAAGGGCATAAGGACATAGTGTGCCCTAGTCTTCCCAGTATCAAACCTCCCTTTCAGTGTCAAATCACCGTCAAACTTTGCATTCAAACAAACATAAAGGTCGTTGAAGCTATGAGGTTTATCAAACTACTACAATTCTTCTTTCATATCCTCAAACATACCATCTTCTCTTCTAACACTTCATCCATAAAAAACTATAACACAACAATCCATCTACAAAAGCATTTCAAAAAACTTCATCAAGTCGTCGAAATTGTTCTACGTAATGTTCATAGTAATATTAATACCTATTCTAACTATAACTATACTAACTAATCTAATATTAATATCTATACAAGGCTAACTACAATAATTAATTATACTAAATACAATGTATAACTAGACTCATTAACTGTGCTAACTAAACTAACTAACTTTACTATCTATACTAACTTACTATATTGCCTATACTAACTAAACTAACTAACTTTACTAATTATACTAACTTTATTTATTTTACTAACTTACTATACTAACAATGTCGATTCAATCAACAAATACACTAGGGGAGTACCTCGCGGCAACGGCGCTTATCCTCGCGGCAGCAGCGTGCGCTCGTCCTTACGGCGGCGACGCGCTAGACCAGGCCGGGAGACGCGGGCGCTAGCCTCGACGGCGGCGGCGGGTGGACACGGGATAGAGAGAAGGGCGTACGACCGTTAGGAGTAGTGTACAGCGCGGTGGTGAGGGCGGTGGCGGGCGTGGTGGGTCGTGTGCGTGGCGTTGTGGAAAGCGCCGCCGGCGCGTCGCCGCCGGGCGCAGCGGCAGCAATGGCGGTGTGGTGCTCGGCGTCGTTATGCGGGCGGCAAAGCGAAGCAAAAAGCGAAGGCTAAGGCGCTTAGAAAAAGCGGCCAGCGCGCGGGGCGGCGGCGGCGAAGCGGCAAAGCGCAAGGCGTCGTGCGTCGATGCGGTGGGCGATATTTACGGGATCGCCACAGTGAGGGATGGGCGGCTGCGCGCCAAGATCGGTGGTGCGGCAGACCCTGCCACATCACCGGTCAGTGCCCCGGTTGTCGCCACGTCATCCCTCTCGCCGCGCCACCATGCATGATGCGGTACAGGCCTTTCGCCGCGACAGGAAAATAGACGCGGCCAAGGGTGTTAGTTTTGGAAAAAAAAATTTAAACAGCAGTAGATTTAAAAGTGTTAAATTTAATATTAGTTTAAAAAAATGTTAAAAAAAAAATAGCTATGGTGAAGGCAGACGCCGAAGCAAAACAGAAGGCGAAGAAGACCAACCCAAGCAAAGCCAACGTGATCTCCCAAATCTCCCGTTCCAGAGGTCGTCTCCGCGTCGTCGGGCCCGGTCCGCGTGCGACGCCGGCATATAGGGTTTCGCCGGCGACGGCGATGGACCCACCGGCTGGGGGCTCCGATCGCCGGGCACCCAGTCATAGCGCTGGCGTCGCGCCCTCTGGCCTCCGCCGATATGGCCTCAATTTCTCCGCCTCCAGCCTCCTCCAGGCCCCCCTCGCGGCCCTCCTCGAGTACTCCGGCGTCGTCCAGTCCGGCCCTGCCCTGGCGGCGCACCACCCGTCCGCGAGGCCCTCGTCGCCGTTGTCGGCGTCGGAGGTCGATGGCCTTCTCTCCGCCGCCGCCGCTGTGGACGGGGAGGTTTCGATCCGGATCCAGGGCGGCCCAGGCGACACGGAGGCCACGGGCGGGCCGGCCGCGGGGACCTCGTTGGAGGACTTGATCGAGACGACCGCCGGCCCGGAGGTTGACCAGGCGTCCGCTGCGGGCAGGGGAGCAGGCGCTACGGACGCGGAGGCAAACGGTGGTGGGGCCGGCACGTCGGGGAACGGGGGCGGGGACCGTGCGTACCAGCGGTACGACGTGCACCACGTTGCGCGGTGGATTGAACAGATATTGCCGTTCTCGCTGCTTCTACTCGTCGTCTTCATACGGCAGCATCTCCAAGGTTTGCTTCATATCTCTCTCGTTCTAAAGGTGCGTTTGGTACTTCTGGAACGTTGTGCACTTGTGCGACCTCACTGTGGCAACTCTAGTTGTTAACAAGTGGTAAGACTTTTAAACAAACGAGGAATTTGGTCTTAAATCCACGAGAACTTTGCTTGCTTATGTTTTAGTTTTTCATTAGGCTAGACTACTTTCTGCTATGAATTCTAAGGATGTAGTTGAAGGAGCTTAGTCCACTTTTATTAATGTTTGAAGTTAGCCTGTGCTATCCTGTTGCCCTACTATGGTAGGGCATATAATCTATTTTGTATGTTGTGGTTTCAATAATCCATGGCTGTGGGTTTTACTTCTGTTGTTTTCAGCTGCATTGGTTGGGCTCCTAATGTTGTTAGAAATTATGTTTGTTGTGCTGATCTTTGGTCTTATTCGGTTAATGAGTCCAATGTGGAAAAGCATTGGAGTTTGGTCTGGAGTGTTAGCTGTGCTAGCGTAGCAATTGGACTTTCTGAAATCAGGCTCCTGTATAGTTAGGAGTTGTTGATTCTCCTTCCTTATCTGATCGAGCTTCTCTGCATCTCTGAAGTGATGGCTTGAAGGAGCACATCTACATTTACCACAATAGGCATTCCTTGTATGTGCTCATATCTTTCTAGCTTCACAATGTAGATCAGATGCATGAACCTTTCCATGCATTTAATTTGTCTGTCGGGTCTGTTGCACCATACTTAGGTGTTTGGTTCCAAGAACTAAACTTTAGTCCCCGTCACATCGGATGTTTGGACACTAATTTGGAGTATTAAACATAGATTAATTACAAAACTAATTACACATATCGAGACTAATTTGCGAGATGAATCTATTAAGGCTCTGTTTGGATGTAGATATTGAGGCTGAGGAATTGAATTGGCCCAGAATACCAAAGCTGAGGGGAATTGGAAATGACCTCAAATACCAATGCCATTGTTTGGATGTGCAAGTAGTTGATTGCTGGAATCAACCAATTCCAATTCTTGTTTGGATGTACAAACGTTGAATTGTAGTCTGGGTTGTCTACAATGATGTAAATGCATTGTAATATGTATTTCACAACTTGCACATTTATTGGATGATTATATTATCACTTTACACAAAAAAAACATGAAAATATTCAGAAAAAATAGTAGAAACTGAAATAATATCATTAAAAACGTGGAAAATAATCGATGACAGCAGCACATAAATGTTGATCACAAGCATCTATTATAGAGTCAATACTTGATGATCAATATTCCAACTCTCTTACAAGTACCACGACATTTCACAACACCTAATTTAAAAGGGGCCATAACAGCAAGCGTACATAGGCAGTTCCATATTACATAACAGCAAGCGTACATTACATCCCTTAATCAGCCACCATTGCTCTAATTCAACGTAAGGAGCCATTCTTTCCTGAAGTCCATAGGCAGTTCCATAAGCGCTTGGAATAAACGTTCATTAAGGATCAGCTTCCCATAAGCCCGCAAAAGGTCACATCTAGCTAAATCTGGTATTTGTTCAAGTGCAGCAAGTATTTCAGCAGGAGGAGTGACCTGAGGCAATGGTAATGGCTCGGTGGATTTTAGAGCATCTCAAAATGAAGTCTTCATATCTCCAAGCATGCAAAGAATCGCTTCACCAGTTCGCTGCTTTTTTTGTGGTAAATCTGGGGATGCTTGATTACATTCTTCAGGTGAATCTTGTGCACTCTCAGCAGCTGTCTTGGCACCATCACCATTGGCATGATCTGTAGAATAAATAGTGCTGATTGCATCCCAATTCTTCACCAGCTTGTTCTTGCAACAAGCTGCAGCCTTGTTATTCTGCACAAAACATAGACACAGTACAAGTGACTTGTCTTATTATAAAATTAAAACAGTGAGAAACCAAATATCCATGTACTTACCGCCACATATCTAGACCAGACATCCTCACTATCAATTGATAGCTTATTATTTTCCCAATCCCAACCAAAACCACTCTGTGACAGTATCTTACTAATGACCTCATAGTGCTTGTCAAAAGTTTTGCACCTGGATGATATGTTTTCTTTTATGATGTCCACATTGCATTGCTCGCGTACATTCTTGATAGCAGCATTGTAGACATGTGGCTTCCATCCATTTTGGGAGCGGTCACCATTGTTGTAATGCTCAACAAGTACAGCCAACAATGCAGTGTCCATCTCATCTGTCCATGTGAGATAAACTCTCTTTGCCTTTGCTGCAGCCATGTGCTATAAGCAAAGGATAACAAAAGCCATGTGTTAGGATGATGCATTTACAAAATATCACAAAAGGCACCATCAGCTAGCTATCACAAAAGGTACGATCAGCTAGCTATCACAAAAGGCCCTGCTATATGCTAACCCACACAACCTACTCCATCTCTAGTTCACCATGCCTAACAAGGTATTCAGCAAACATGTCATTAGCTAGCTGCTCCCTAAAGGTGTTCCATTCAGTAGTAACTTGAACACTTGTAATTAAGGTAGCATCATCTATAGATTCATTGGCCATAGCTGCTAGTTCATCATCCACTTCGGGTAGCAATAAATCATCCATTTGATGCTGTCTATCTCTTGTAAAGTTATGTAACACACAACAAGCATTAATAATTTGGATCTGCAACATTCATTTGATGGCAGTTAGCACTTGCAATTGAGATTTTTTTTCACCATATGTACACATTTGTTACTTGGTCCTTCATATCAAAGAAACTTTGAGAACGCAAAATTGCTTATTGTTTCTTCCACAAACCAAAAGTTCTTTCCATAACATTTCTAGCACGAGAATGACGCAAGTTATATAACTCTTTCGGAGTTTTAGGCTGTTGTTGACTTGAAACCCACTCTTTTAAGTGGTATCAAGTGGATCTGAATGGAGCTAGGAATCCAGGTCCATTGGTATAACCAGCATCAACTAAATAATATTTTCCTATTACGAAAAAACTAAATTATATAACTACCAAAACAAAGAAATAAAATGCCAAGTGAAAAGGTCATACCCTGAGGTACAACAAATGCATCTTGGCGACTCATTACATCACGCAGAACTCTTGAATCAGAAGCTGAACCCTCCCAAGCAGGCAAAACATACAAAAATTTCACATTCCAGTTAACCACACCTAGCATGTTAGTGGTGATTTGTTACTTTCTGTTTCTATACCTCCCTTGGTCAGCCACATCAACACACACATCAACATGACACCCATCTGATGCACCAAGAGCATTGCCAAACCACTTCCATTTGTAATCATCGGGAGGTTGATTTGAAGGATCAGGAAGCTTAATAAACTCTCCACTTAAAGATAGAATAGCTGATAACACATTAGAAAAGTGCCTACTGATAGTCTCTAAAGAGTGCTTATAAGTGCCACGCAACAACCTCATTTTTATACCATGCCCAACTACCAGCAAGAACATAGCAACCTTTTCTTCCACAGCGACATAAACACTCACGAAGACCACACCTTTCACGCAACATGATGCACGAGTCATGAAAGTTTCTTTTAGTTAAACGTAGCTCATCATAGCATATAACTTCAGAACCATCATACATTTCCTTCAACAAATACTTCCTAAGAGTATGTCTGCGCTCATCATCATTAAAGCACCCTAAATCCCTTGGCCCCCGCTGCGAACTAAGATATGCAAGGCCAAGAACAACTGCCTCAAAGTATAGTTCTGTGAAAATAATCCTCCTCTTTCTCCTTTTATTTTCTTCATTAATGAAGGAAACCAACTCAAGATCTGACATAGTGCAGCTACAATGCACACATGCACACATGATTTTTAAAGAGCAAGACATGAAACAAAAAAAATCATTCAGAAACACCAACAACACATCAATCTAGGCAGTACATACCTTCAATAGAACTGAAGAACAACGAACACTTGACAGAAGTAACCTGCAAAATACAGAGAAAAGGGGTTAGGGTTTCGAAAGAGTGAATCGATGGAGGGAGAAGGAAAGAAGGCCTCGATCGATCTAGATGCCGAAAGGGAATTGGGAAAAAGAGCAAGGATGAATCGGCGAGGGTAGGCGCGGATCGAAGGAGGAAGATTTGAGCAGGAAGGGGGAAGTAGATGAGACTAGCAAGAAGACGGACCTGCAGGGAGGGATAACGACGGAGGTTGGTCGGATATGTATGAGAACGAGGGCGTGAGGGAGAGCTCGCCGGCAGATAGCACATCTGCGGTGGGATCAACCTCCCATCGCTTTCGCCATCGCCGCCGCCTCTCTCTAGAGTCGCTCGCTCGCGCTTTTTTTTTTGAGTCGGGTCACGAAGGGGTACGCACGGGGGTCGGGGAAGGGGAAGGGAAGTGATTTCGGGCGAATACAGAGCGGGAGACCTCGGAATCATGGGCGGGCTCTTTCCTTCGTGCGGTAGAGGTGCACGATATTGGGCGCCAATTCCTCCGACCAATTCCAGAACCATCCAAACAATGGGATAACAGGGTAGCCAATGCCAAAGCCAAATCCAAGGTCCCAATATCTACATCCAAACACTACCTAAGTCTAATTAGTCCATGATTTGACAATGCGGCGCTACAGTAAACATGTGTTAATCATGAATTAATTAGGCTTAATAGATTCGTCTCGCTAATTAGTCTACTCCTGTGCAATTTGTTTTATAATTAGCTCATGTTTAGTCCTCCTAGTTTTTTTTGAGTGAAATATACAGCAGGGGAGGCCCCCATTGTGAATTTTATTAAAACCCAAAAAGAGAAACAACACTGTACAAAGGCGACACAGCAAGGGAAGGAGGGGCTACACAATAAGCAGGCCCTGGGAAGGCAGAAGAACTAGGCTAACCATACAGGAAAGGAACTCTAGACGCTTTACAACATTGAACCTATGAGCTTGAAGCCTAGCTTCTTCACAGAAGGAGTTCATCCAGGAGATAAAAGAAGGCCGACCCCTATCAAAGATGAAGTTGTTTCTCTGCTTCCAAATTTGCCATGCCGCAATGGTGAAGAACTCCATGAAAAAGGGATTCTGAGATTGAGTTTTAGCCTGCTGCATCATCTCGTAAAATTCTCTTGTGAAATCCCAATTAATCCCAATTAGTCCTCCTAGTTAGCATCCGCACGTCCGATGTGACACGGCACTTTCTTTCAATAAGAACTTTTTACTCTTTTGGGGAATGGAACATGCATGTCAGAATGTCAAACTAAGGTTAAAAAATACTGTTACCTTTTTGTGTTGCTTCAATTGAGTGTGCATCAACCTGAGCATTATAGCAGTCATATCTATTCTGTTAGTGTCCAGCATTTCTTATACTTTCAATAGCCTGAAAATGTCCTTTTTTATTATTTCTGCCACTATGATGAATGGTCAGTTATCCATGTAACTCTATTATTCTAAGTTATTATCCTTTCAATCACTCTTTTTTTTTGTTGCAAAGGTTGTTCGGAGTGCCCACTAATGGAAGAATTGTTTTGTGTGCAGGTTTCTTTGTCACAATTTGGATTGCTGCGGTAATGTTCAAGTCGAATGATATATTGAGGAAGCAAACTGCTTTGAAGGTTTGATGACGCATTACTTTATACATTGTTGAACTAGCTTAATGAACTATTTGACATATCAGGTGTGTACTTAGCCAGCTTTTTTCCTTTCTGTTACCTCATCAATTGGGATGACTGTCATAATTTATCTGCACCAAAGAGATGTTCGAATGGTAATTGAGATAAAATGAGAGTCATACTGCATTTTCTAAGACATCATTGTATTAGCTTAACATGCTCTCATCTCGTAGTGACCTTACTTCCATGCTGTCCATTGTGAAATTAGAACGACAAATACATTATGCGATCTATATTAGCTCATCAGTTGATCTTGAGTTATGTTTTACCACTGTACCAGTTAGTGCCACGTTGCTCAGTGTACTTGCCATGCTTGTGTTAAATTAATCTATTTGATAATGTAATAGCTGGTTATTACTAGTATCTTAATATTTCCAACTCGTGCTTGCTTTTACAGGGCGAGAGAAAAATATCTGTACTCATTGGTATTACAGTAATCTTCATGATTCATGTGTTTGGCGTATATTGGTGGTACAGGAATGATGATCTTCTCAGACCTTTGTTCATGCTTCCTCCAAAAGATATACCACCATTCTGGCATGCGATTTTTGTCATCATGGTCAATGGTATTACTAATTTGAATTTGGCCATATAGTTTCTCAATTGTTTTACAGCTAAATATTCTTTTAAGCTATATACAGTTGGCTTTCTAGAAGGGTAGGCCTGGTGCAGTGGTGAGAGCTGTCTCACTGAGTCACCAGGTCGGGGGTTCGAAGCAGCCTCTCCGGGGAAGGCTTGCCTCGGTTTTTCCCTTCCCCAAACCCCACTCATGTGGGAGCCTCCGGCATTGGGTCTGCCCTTTTATATACAATTGGCTTTCTCTAGTTTACTATAGATTAGATATTGATGTACTGAAATATTTGGTTATATTGAACACATTTTATTGACTGCTGAAACTGCAAATGAACTTTCATACATTTTACTTCCCCAAGTGTTGATATGCTCTAGCGTAATTGATTTTTTTTTGTTCTTCGTTCATTAACCATACTGTTTGATTTTATAAGGTATGTGTTTGAGGGGAAAAAAAGGATTTTATAAGGTACAACAGTGTCAAGGGCGTTGGTGCCCAAGACAGCAGGTCCCCGACTCCGGAGTTCGTAGGTAGATTGGGTACTGGCGCTGGGATTCTTCCCTGAACGCCCTATGGTGAAAGGGGTGAGATTAAGAGCAGCAAAGGTAGATTAGGAGATAACTTGTTTCTTGATTGATTCATCATAAGCTGATTACAGAATATATAGAGCAGCCCCAGCTCCTGGGCGCCCAGCTCTGGTCTCTTCGTTTCTCTCCCCATTAAACATTCTCTCATTACTCTAATCCCTTCCCCATAAACCTTAATTGCTGCTGACTACAGCTGGTACCTCCTTGGATGCCACTCTGGCCCTTGCCACATCTCGAGCCCTGGGACGCCTTTCATAATGGCGCCCCCACATCACAAACAGAGAGACTACTATTTTACCTCTTTCACACAGACTTTTTTTCTTGTCATCAACTTTTTCCACTGAGTCAATGTAGAATCTTGCAAGTTTATGAAGTTTCCTTAAACAAAATCACAACACCTGATCCTTAATATAATTTCAACATGGAGCCATACAAGAAAAGAAGTAAAGCTTGAATGACATAAACTGATTGGGATATTGTGTTCCCTTGAGCCTATTGCAATTCATTGTCATTTATTTTTTTAAGAAAATATTTTTTTAGAAATAAACAAAAATATTTGAATTTTTTGGGCTATAGCTGATATAGCTATGCACGTTTGATGTATAACCATGAGTTACTTCCAGATACAATGGTCCGCCAAGCTGCAATGGCTGTCAAGTGCATGATACTTCTCTACTACAAGAACTGCAGAGGTCGTAACTACCGTAGACAGGTGACATATTTTTCAAATTCTTATGCTTTGTTGTGGATCATTTTTGGTTTTCTCATGTTCATAGTTCTTAGATCATGTCTGCTATTGGTTAATGTATAAACATAACTTCCACAAATTGTATGTGTTAAAAGTGGTGCTTCTAATAATGACTCTCCATGACTAAGTGATTGTTATACTTGCAAGGGTATGTGAACTTTGTAAAGACTGTGGAAACCAGTTAAAATATCCAGAAATTGTTGCTGCCATTGTTGCGTATTTACACACATGTCAGTACCTATGTTACCTCATCTTTTGCTCCTACACTGGATTATATTGTTTGAGCTATATGTCTGCAACTGTAGCTTTTCTAAAGAATATTTTTTTAAACAAAAAAACTTCTAAAACAAACTCCCTAACATGTCCAAGTCTGAACCTACCAACCAGACAACTATAGTCCATGGTGTGGCCAAAAGGCAGATTCTGGTGTATAGTTAGTAACGGCTTATTTTGAAATTTTAAGGGAAGCCAAAAAGACATGATGGGACTGGCTTTGTTTCCTCAAATATAATTGACACCCTTCTACTAAATTAGATTGTGTAGTAGCTGGACAACATTAACAAACATGTACACTATACACATTTCTAACAATATTTTCAAACATTTAACTCAGCTTCAATGGTAATAAATTTCAATTTGTATCATATGTAGCGAATATCCAACGATACTGCCTCAACCTTCCACACGTCTGCTCCAATCATCCATGTCACCGCAAATAGTGGTCCTGCAGTGTCAGCGGTACCTGCAGAAGTAGCATAGGTTTCACCAAAACAGGAAGCGGAAGCAGCAACTGGAGTGTGTTGGCTGCTAGAGGGCAGCTTGGCCAACAGGCCGCTTGGATTGTATTGAATTGCAATGATAACTTAGATACAAAAGATGCTAACCAGTGTATATATAAGCAAGTGGTGTACTTACTCCTTAGCATATTCTAACTACATAAAGCAGATGCTATGATTCCTACTTGGTTGCCCAGGAACCTGAAAAATTACATGACAGTGAATAGTAAATAGCTATAGTAGGTAACTGGAAAACATAAACACTAGGCTAACTATTGACAGAGTGCGCTTTGTGGGCGAAGGAGACTCCAGCGTGACGTCGTGTGCTCAGGATCATGTCCAGTCATGGCAGCTACCAACGAAGGAGTGGTGGGACCAGGAGTAAATGCAAGACATGCTGCTTTTGTTGAGAGGCTAGTGTCCTCTACTCATCTGTCTTCAACTTTTTCACAAGGCCAACATTTACCACTGCCCGTGTTGTACTGTACCTTCCTAAGTGTCGCCTTGATGAAATGGCACTGTGGCAGACCTAGGTTGACTGGTGGCTTGGCTGGCCCCAGTCCCTTCTCCTTTGTCCTTTTCCTTTCCTCCTCTCCCTGCTGCTGTTTTTGCTGTTTCTAGGTTGCTATAGGTACTTGGAAAGGGACGGGCCACCACGCCTCACCTTACCTTACCACCATAAGAAAATTATTTTACAGTAACATGTGAGCAGAATTTTTCCATCTGTTAGGACAACTGATTAGTATTGCATAATGTTACAGTAACATGTCTACAATTCTTCCTTTTTAGGGCCAAATGTTAACCCTCGTGGAGTACCTTCTGCTTCTTTATCGTGCTTTGTTGCCAACTCCTGTTTGGTACCGTTTCTTTCTGAACAAGGAATATGGGAGTCTCTTCTCATCTTTAACCACTGGGCTGTATCTGACTTTCAAGTTGACTTCAGTTGTCGAGAAGGTACCACTGTTTGCCGCACCCCATTTATAAATCACTTACTTGAAGGCATACTTGTTCTTGACATTGTGGCTTCCAGGTTCAGTCATTCTTGGCCGCGGTGAAAGCACTTTCACGTAAAGATGTGCATTATGGGTCTTATGCGACTGCAGAACAGGTAAAAGAGATCTTTGGCTGGTCATGTCACTAGCCTGTTCTTTCTAATAACTGGTAACAAGGTATTAGGCAGCCCAAAGTGATATTATTTAAACTGTTAACTGTTTTTTTAGAGTTTTAGGGCTCATGCCCCAGTCTTTCAACTAAAGTGAAAAGACATCCATTACAGCGTACTGGATGATATCTCATCCTGAAACAGAAGCTAAAAAGGGAAACCAGCTCACCACTCAAAGTTTCTGAAAACTAAAGAACATTACATCAACTCCATACTATTTTAAAAATCTTTTCACCAAAGCTCTGAAGAAGGTAACCACTTCTCTCCAGTGACTTCATCTTTGATTGCAAACATGTTCTAATCTTCCCAATCTGCCCAGAACTGAGAAATCGTCTGCGGGTACCCCTGAAACTTCAGTTGTGCAGCCACAAGACCCTTCTTGCTGAAGACTTGATCTCCTCCAAAATGAGTTTCAACAGCTGTTTCTTTTCTGGTGGGCACAGAATTATCCAATTCTGGAGAAGCCCAGCTATACTGAACAGCAGCATCTCCATGCTTTTCCAGCCTGTTTTTTGAAAACAAATTTCATTTCTGAGTTTTCAAATACTTCACAGAAGTACAGAAGTAACAACATTAAGAGTACCATGTTTTTTAAGGCTAAGCCGTGTTAGAAGTGCAGTGTTAGTCGTTGAACTCTCACTCTCGGTAGTAGCAGAATTCTTACTCTCATCGAGAGAGGATGACACTAGGAGTTGGGGCAATTTTCTGGTTTATTTCTCACACAAACTCACACAAATGCCATGCCAACCTGAGGGGTTGGGGATACATATTTATAGGCTGCTAGCCAGCCAAGCATATGCCAAGATGTTAGTCTAAGATGCTAATGTGCTGTCCTAGAGTCTAAGATGCTAGTCCTATATGCTGTCCTTCAGTCAAGGATGCTGTCCTTGATAACCACCATGCAGCAGCCCCACAAAGACCAGCCCCACAAAGACTTATCCATCATGCAACAGCTATAGCCTATAGGATGAGCAGAGGTGAATAGAGTAGCTGGAGTTTAGAAGACAGTTTCTTTGAAGCAAACTAGCTTGTCGTTCATATTGAATATGCATACATATATATAGCAGTACCTAAGTTGGTTTACAAACCGACCTGCCATTCGTAACAGTTGTATAACAGCTGTACAAAGTCAAATTAACTACTACTGCAGGCTGTCAGGACAGCTGCACTACTTGTACTGCCTACTCCGTCCCAAAAAACACACAATTGTAGGACCGGGCACGGAAGCCAACGTGGTGGAGAAATGACAGAAATGCCCTATACTAAATGACAAAGAGCTCTCCATGTCTAGAACTCTAGTGCGGTAGATTAAAAAAACAAGTGAGGTGGCAACCTGGCAGGTGGCCTTTGGTTTGGGTCCGACCCTAGGTTACCTAGCCCTGGTACCTACATGTGCGTTTTTTCTGGTACAAATTTTGAACTCTTAGATTGCGTTTTTTTTGGATGGATGGAGTAAGCAAAACAACCGACTATACATATGTTGCTGTTGTGCACAAGTAAAAACAAAATTGACTACTTATACCTGCTGTCGAAGGCAGCAGCTAGACTTCCTGTCTAAGAATAATATTCTTAGAATATGGTGTAAACCGACCTATATGTCAGCAGCCAGCTAAAAGACCATATACTACTAGAGTACTAGTACTTAGCTATATAAGCCTTAAACACAAGGATTACTTCTAACAAGCCAAAATTTCCCTATCTCTACCAGGTTGTCTCCTACTTTCACTTAACAATATCAGAGATCATACTCCAACACTGCTTTGCTATAGCACAATCAAAAAAGACATGCTGCATATATTCAACCTCAGAACAAACTAAACAACTACTATCCTCAACTTCTCTTCTTTTTGCTAGCTTGTCTCTAGTCAGAACTTTATTATTAGAGATTTACCAGAGAAATAATTGCACTCTAGGTGGGATCTTAATCTTCCATAAAGCCAACAAATGTAGAGCTTTATCTGGACTCCAAATTGGATGTTCCATATATGTTTTTTTACCATCTCGACGAGAGGAACGCAATAGTGAAGTCCATTCTACATTTTGACAACTTTACAAAATGGACATTTTTGGTTGTCAATAGGCAACATCCCAAAGTGGACAAACATTTTGTCTATCTTAGCCATGATAAAATTATCCTGAGGCAAACTTTTTATTTGTGGGGTTGAGCTCTATCAAAGCCCATTTACTTATTGACCCGTTAAGATCAGCCCATTTGCGGTTTATAATACCATTGCTTTTGTCTCTTGTGAATGTAACGCAAGGTTCCAAAAAATGCTAGGCGTTGGGCCATATTATCAAAAGTCCATTTACTTATCCATCCATTAAAAAGAGCCAGCCCATGTTGTTGTTGTTGTTGTTGTTGTATTTGTGGTTTCTAATACCATTCCTTTTGTCTCGTGAATGTAACGCAAGGTTCTGAAAAAACGCTAGGCTCTGGGCATGTGTTGGGCCACCGCCTAGCGCCTAGGATGCTTAATCGTAGATTAATCATGCTTAAACATTACACATTATACATCAGCAAAGTAATAATAAAAAAGCGACTAGGAAGCGTATAAATATATTATGCGTTCAAGAGACTAAATGGAAGGGTCAGAAGGCGAAGGAGGTGGACAATACAGGTTTCAAGCTTTACACAGGGACAGTCGCGAATAGAAATGGAGTAGGAGTTTTGATTGATAAGAGCCTCAAGAATGGTGTGGTGGGAGTGAGAAGGCAAGGAGATAGGATTATCTTAGTCAAGCTTGTCGTTGGTGATATGGTCTTGAACGTAATTAGTGCGTATGCTGTGATATGGTCTTGAACGTAATTAGTGCGTATGCCCCCCAAGTAGGCCTCGACGAGAGTGCTAAGAGATAGTTCTGGGAAGACTTAGATGGTCCGATTAGAGCTGTACCTAGTAGTGAGAAACTTTTTATAGGAGGAGATTTTAATGGGCATGTAGGTACTACAAGCGCAGGTTTCGAGGCAGTTCATGGAGGTTTTCGGTATGGTAGTAGGAATCAGGAGGGGGAGGAAGTTCTGGATTTCGTGGTAGCTTTTGACCTGATGATAGCCAACACTTTCTTTAGAAAGAGAATCTCATCTAGTGACCTTCAGTAGCGGACAACACTCTAGCCAGATTGACTTTGTCCTCGCATGAAGAAAGGACAAACGAGCATGCTTGGGTTGCAAGGTGATACCAGGGGAGTGTGTTGTTTCTCAACATAAGCTTTTGGTGGTAGACTTTCGTTTTCAGATGCGTGCCCGTAGGGATAAACAAGCTAAGATTGAAAGAACAAAGTAGTGGAAATTGAAAGGGGAGACGTCAGAGGTATTCAGGGAAAGGGTTATCAAAAGAGAGCTCTTGAAGCAAGAAGAGGACATAAACAACATGTGGGAGAGGATGGCAACCAACATTCGGAAGGTGGCTTCAGAGGTGTGTGGAGTAACCAAAGGAAGTGGAGGCGAGGCTAAAGATACTTGGTGGTGGAACGAGGAAGTCCAAAGGGCTATTAAGGAGAAGAAAGAATGCTATAGACGCTTGTACCATGACAGGAGTGTGGACAAGATAGAGAAGTACAAGGTGGCAAAGAAGACTGCAAAGCGAGCTGTAAGTGTGGCAAAAGGTAGAGCGTACGCGGATCTTTACTAACATTTGAGTACGAAGGAAGGAGAGAAGGATATTTATAGGATGGATAGGGTTCGTGAGAGAAAGACAAGGGACTTCAACCAAGTTAAGTGCATTAAGGATGAAATGGAGCATCTCTTGGTGAAGGAGGATGGGATCCGACATCGATGGCAAGAGTATTTTGACAAATTGTTCAATGCTGAGAATACGGACATAACCTTTCAGTTGGATGACTCTTTTGATGACACCAATAGACGCTTTGTGCGGAGAATCCAAGATTTGAGGTCTGAGATGCGTTGAAAAAGATGAAAGGAGGTAAGACGATGGGACCGGATGGTATCCCAATCAAGGTATGGAGATGGCTTGAGGACATAGCTATAGTATGGCTAACCAAGCTGTTCAACCATATTTTTCGATCGAACAAGATGCGTGACGAGTGGAGGAGAAGTATATTTGTACCGATCTACAAGAATAAAGGGGATATTCAAAGTGTACTAATTACTGGGGAATTAAGTTGATGAGCCATACTATGAAGCTATAGGAGAGAGTTATCGAGCATCGTTTGAGAGCAATAACGCGGGTCTTTATGAACCAATTTGGTTTCATGCCCGGAAGGTCAACCATGGAAGCCATTTTCTTAATAAGACAAGTTATGGAGTGGTATAGGGAGAAGAAGGACCTACACATGGTTTTTAACGACTTGGAGAAGGCTTATGATAAAATACCAAGAAATGTTATGTGGTGGGCTTTGGACAAAAATAAAGTCCTAACGAAGTATGTCGGGCTCATTAAGGACATGTACAACAATGTTGTGACTAGTGTTCGAACAAGTGATGGAGACACGGGTGACTTCACGATTAGGATAGGACTACATCAAAGGTCAGCTTTGAGCCCTTATCTGTTTGCCTTAGTGATGGATGAGGTCACAAGGGACATACAAGGGGACATCCCTTGGTGTATGCTTTTCGCGGACGATGTAGCGCTAGTTGATGAAAGCCGGACATGAGTGAATCAGAAACTAGAGTTATGGCGAGAGACTTTGGAGTCCAAAGGTTTTAGACTCAGTAGAACTAAAACTGAGTATATCAGATGTGACTTACGGCACTACTACTCGGGAGGAGAAAGATATTAGTTTGGAAGGTCAAGTAGTGCCTAGGAAGGATATCTTTCGATATTTAGGATCAATGCTACAGAGAGACGGGGATATTAACGAAGATGTTAGCCATAGAATCAAAGTAGGGTGGATGAAGTGGCGCAAAGCATCTGGTGTCCTATGTGACAAAAGGGTATTACAGAAGCTAAAAGGCAAGTTTTATAGGACGGCGATGAGACCTGCTATGCTGTATGGTGCAGAATGTTGGCCTACGAAAAGATGACATGTTCAACAGATAAGTGTCGCGGAAATGCGTATGTTGCGTTGGATTTGCGGTCATACAAGAAGGGATCGAGTTCGAAACGATGATATACGTGATAGATTAGGGGTAGCACCAATTGACGAAAAGCTTGTCCAACACCGATTGAGATGGTTTGGACATGTCCAACGAAGACCTCCAGTGGCACCGGTGCGTAGTGGAATCCTAAGTCAGGATAGTAACGTGAAGAGAGGCAGAGGAAGACCGAAGTTGGCTTGGGTAGAGGCAATAAAAGGAGACTTGAAATGATGGAATATACTCAAAGACTTAGCCTTAGATAGGAGTGCTTGGAAAACAGCTATTCACGTGCCTGAACCCTGATTGCTTCTGCTGGGTTTCAACTCTAGCCTACTCCAACTTGTTTGGGACTTAAAGGCTTTGTTGTTGTTGTTGTTGTTGATCCATTCCCACGCCACTCATTCCGCTATCATACAATGAAAGGCTCATCTGGCCTCTCCCGTCATGATTTCCACGACATGGGCTGCAATTACTGGCCCATCCAGCCCTTGCCCTATTCCTAGAACTTCACGAGCAGCCACCACGCACCGCTGGTCCTCTTTCTCGTATCCTCGTATCTTCTCGATCTCATCGATTCTTCCTCTGCCTGTAGGGGTGGCGGGTAGGATTGCGCAAGCGGCGATGTGACGAGGCATAGGGGTGACGATGAGAGCATGCATGAGCTTGAGTGCAGCAGCCTGAGGAAGATCTGGCCCCTCTCGTAGACGGTGACGATGCAAGGATGATCGATTGCATCTGGTAAACCTTGTTGCCAGCTCTTTATCTACAACCTGAGCTTTGTAATCTTTGTTCTCGTTCTCCTGCCATGCTCCTTGCCTCCTCTGCACTCGCAACCGTCTGCTTGCCAGCACCTCACATTTAATTGGGCACCTAGGGCCTAAACGACCCCTTATGGCTGTGATTCACGCTTAAGCGTGCCTAGGTGTACGATTAATAACGCCTTTTAGAAGGCTGATGTAACAAGATTAAAATCTCCTCGAATAAGTATGGGACCTTGACACGATCCCAACACTGCATCTGACTCATCAAGAAAGCCTTGCTTCTTATCCTCATAGGGGGGAGGGGGACCATACACTACTACTAATTTCCATGCGAAGCCATTGCTTTTATTGGAAAGCATGACACTGCCTGAAAAATTCATAATATCACAGACTAAAAAAATGTCTGTATTTGCACCTATCAAAATTCCACCTGCTGAACCTTTAGCCTCTAAGCGTGTGTTTGGTTTGGGGACAATGTGGGATGGGTTGAACCTATCCCAGTTTTGCGGGTTGGGTTGAACCCATCTCTTGTTTGGTTGAAAAGGTTCGGTCCATTCCAGTTTTACGTTTGGTTGGAAGAATATCTGGAAGTGGGTTGAGTCATTGACATGTGGGGTCCATTCTTGCGTCTCCTGCGCACGTGCGCCTTCCTCGCATGGCCGCAAACTGCTTGCCCGCAGTTGCTCCTCCATGGCCGCAGCTCGCTCACCAGTAGCCACCCAGATCTGCTGCTCCGTATGCCCCGACGGTCCGACCCGCCCTGTGGCTCCTCCGCCTGGCCATGGCTCGCCTGCACGCCTCACCTGCTGCTCCATGCATGTGCCTGTGCTGCTCTGTAGGCCACGCCGCCGCTGCCACCTGTGCTGCTGCCGCAGCCCCTGCTTGCTCGCGCCGGTGCCGCGGCAATCGACTCGCTGCGCGCGCGGTCACGGCGAGTGCTCGTCCGCTCCGCTGCCGCTGCGACGGCCCTTGCTCCCCTGCACCTCAGCCGCGGCAGCTGGCTCGCTACGCGCCGGCTACTCGCCTGCATCGCCGCTGGGCCACCTGCGCTGTCTGTTCTCACGTGCGAGAAGGAAGTGGGTTGTCCCCGTCCCCTTGATTTGGAGAAATCAAACCAACCCGAATCAACACGGAATATTCCTTGTTGGGACAGACCCAACCCATGTCAATCTGTAACCAAACACTATGAAAACTGGGTCCAACCCAACCCAACCCACACCAACCTCCAATCCAAACACACAATAATATTCCATAACGGCCCTACCATTTCCTTCTTTCTCTATATTTTTTTCGTAGGACCAACCTTATGTGAGATAATCTGCTGCTCTCCCTCTTTGTTTTGCTGCAGCAGGGGTTAGACCTTTGGTCAGCTCTTGCTGTCCTTGTATTGTATTATTAGAAGTATGGCAATAGACCAACTTAGTAGTGGCATACATCAGCCATGTAGGGAGTAGTTCGGGCTGAGATCAGCCATACTCTTGTGTACCTTATAGTTGGTACAGGAGTTGTATATATACTCTACCAATAGCAATGGAAAACGTAGTTCAATTGTTGCACATATTCAGAGTTTCAGACTTTCAGTCTGTGTGTGTGCGCTCTGTTCTCACCCCCTTCTTCTACCTCTAGCTGTTGTTGTGTGTGAGGGTGTTGGTGAGCTAGCTGCTCAGCTCACCTGTGCAGGGAGATCGAGGGCCAACACCTTAGGCCAACCAGTCAAGTATTCCATGACTTCAGACGTTTTCCCACTAATAATAGGAGTACTAGGTGCCTTATCCTTGTCGCCCTGTTCCTTTTCTAAGTTCTTCAGGTCCATGCCAGGATCTAAAGTTTTACTACAGTCTATATGTTGGCAAGCTAAATCACAAGCTGAATCTCTATTATTGTCAAGTTCAAGCATTCTATCAACTATCAATTGAGAATGAATTTCCATCCCTCACCTCAATGCCAAGATCCTTGGCAACAGAAAGTACATGTTCTTTAGACACAAAACTAGAATACTGAATGGTTATACCTTTAATCTCTTACATATTCCATTTCCTCTTGAAATCTTGAGCTTTTTCCATCATAGTCTTGCCATTATCAATGTTCCTTTTACTCCTCGTTGGTAGATGTTCCTTTACCTTTTCCCCCTCACTTTGTTCTCTATCTGATCATGTTTCTCCAGATCCTCCATTGTAGGTTGAGTGGCTGAGCTGTTATCTTCTTCTCTATATGGGACTGCTCATCTTGCTTTTCTATGATGGGAATCTGGGATGATTCTTGATATTGTCCCTGCACACTAATATCTTGTACTGACTGTTTTTGTGTTGAAGCTCATAGATCCATTCCTTAGGTAGCTGTTTGGTTTCTGCCTTTAGTTGACACACTGTTTGGTTTCTGCCTGCTCCAACTGACCCTCCTCTTCAAAGATCAGCAACCTCACTGTCTTGCTTCTAGCTGGGGTATTTTCTTCTCTAATTATCCAGTTTCCTTGTTCTCCTTCCTGTCCTGTTTACCTGTAGATTTACCATTCAAATCTTCTCCAAGTAAGTCATCCTCTTCTAGCCCTTCTTCACCTCCACATTTACACAAGTCATCATCTGAAGAGTCATCTTTCTGCTCTACTCTTTCCGTCCCTTTTTAACTGTCGTTCTCACTTTCCGAGCTCAACTTGGACCAAATATATATACAAGAAAATATTAATATTTATGATACATAATTAGTATCATTAGATAGATCGTTGAATCTATTTTCATAATAAACTTATTTGGAGATACAAATGTTGCTAATATTTTCTACAAACCTAATCAACTTAAGAAAGTTTGACTAGCACGAATATCATAGACTTAAGAAGGGACAGAGGGAGTTCCCCTTTAGCTTTGAAGGAGATCAGGTATAGCTTCTTTTTGAAGAAAGATTCTCTCCTTTGGGATTCTTGTTGTTGGATCCTTACACTGTATCTTCATTCTCACCATGCTGAAAAAGCTGTTAAAAGAGTCTGCCAGTCCACTTCTACCATCAAGCCCAAGCTAGAAGCCATTTCTTTAATTGACACCCAGTCAACCCATTTTGGAGGCATCCCCTTAATTTGAACCCAGACATCTACCAGGCTTCCCAATGGTTCCACATCTGCATTCCACACTTTCAGAAAGGCTAGAATACTATCTCTATTCAGGTAGAAGAGAGGCCTAACCTACCACAATGATTTCCACTTTCTCATGTGGGAATTTGATTATGTAGCTGTAGTCATCAGATTTCCTCAACTCTATTTCAGGTAAAAGAGAGAGAGGCCTTCCCTACCACAATGCTTTCCATTTTCTTATGTTGTGGGAATCTGATTATGTAATCCTTCTCAAAGAGCTCTCTCAGATTCTCTAAAATTCCCTCCTCATCAATATCCCCTTCCTCTATAGTGAATACCCCCAAAGTTATCCATACCATTGCAGTGCTTGAACCTGTCCTCTCTTGGCTCCACATCAACAACAACAACAAAGCCTTTAAGTCCCAAACAAGTTGGGGTAGGCTAGAGTTGAAACCCAGCAGAAGCAATCAAGGTTCAGGCACGTGAATAACTGTTTTTCAAGCACTCCTATCTAAGGCTAAGTCTTTGGGTATATTCCATTCTTTCAAGTCTCCTTTTATTGCCTCTACCCAAGCCAGTTTCTGTCTTCCTCTGCCTCTCTTCACGTTACTATCCTGACTTAGGATTCCACTACGCACCGGTGCCTCTGGAGGTCTTCGTTGGACATGTCCAAACCATCTCAACCGGTGTTGGACAAGCTTTTCGTCAATTGGTGCTACCCCTAATCTATCACGTATATCATCGTTTCGAACTCGATCCCTTCTTGTATGACCGCAAATCCAACGCAACATACGCATTTCCGCGACACTTATCTGTTGAACATGTCATCTTTTCGTAGGCCAACATTCTGCACCATACAACATAGCAGGTCTAATCGTCGTCCTATAAAACTTGTCTTTTAGCTTCTGTGGTATCCTTTTGTCACATAGGACACTAGATGCTTTGCGCCACTTCATCCACCCTACTTTGATTCTATGGCTAACATCTTCGTTAATATCCCCGTCTCTCTGTAGCATTGATCCTAAATATCGAAAGGTATCCTTCCTAGGCACTACTTGACCTTCCAAACTAATATCTTCCTCCTCCCGAGTAGTAGTGCCGAAGTCACATCTGATATACTCAGTTTTAGTTCTACTGAGTCTAAAATCTTTGGACTCCAAAGTCTCCTGCCATAACTCCAGATTTTGATTCACTCATGTCCGGCTTTCATCAACTAGCGCTACATCGTCCGCGAAAAGCATACACCAAGGGATGTCCCCTTGTATGTCCCTTGTAACCATAGTTTTTACGGCGGCGTGGCGACCCACCACCTTCACACCTTTACAGCGTCTATGGCGTGTGGCGTGGCGACGCCATACACACATCGGCGTGGCGAATACATACATTATAGTCTAGGATATTAGGAAATTATATTGACAAATGGTAATGCAAATGTAGCTTAAAAGGTATAGTCTACAATATTAGCAAATCAAAATAGCAATGTAAATGTAGCACAAAAGACATAGAACTCTCTCATCTCTGAAACCGGGCTCATTCTTTACTGTTACTGGGCCCAAAACCGGCAATTCGGCTCGGCCCACACCTCTGTGCGGCGCCCGGCCGCACCCAGGCCGCAACGTGGACCTGGGCCGGCAAAGTGCCGCGGCCGCGCGCGCGCTCGCCTGGGCCGCGAAACGGCCCGGCCGCTCTCCGCCGTCGGATCGCATCCGACGGTCGACCGGCCGTCTCGCCCGAACAAAAAGGCCCGGCCGGCCGCGTCAGCCGAAACCCTAACTCCCATTCTACTCCCCTTCTCTCTCTCAGTCGCGCGGAGCCCGAGCGTGAGCGAGCAGACGACTCGGCGCCGTCGCCGGCCCCCTCGCCGGCGAGCGCGCTCCCCAGCGGGTGAGCGCGCCGCCGTCGAGCGGCCTAGTTGCGGCGTCCCTTTGGCTAGAGCCCGGCGAGCAGCGTCTCGGGCTCGGTCTCGGAGGGCTCCAATCGGCTACTCGGCCTATACAAGTACCCTCACGGCCTCACCCTCACCCTCACGGTCTATTGCGCCCACCACAGCGCACAAAGGCGCCACAGGACGCCAAATCGGCGCCACGGGGACGCCACGGCGCTATGGCGGACGCCATACACGCCGGAGCCGTGGCGAGAGCCAGAAAAACGCCACGGCGATATGGCGACGATATGGCGACGATATGGCGTCGGTATAGCGACGCCTTAACAACTATGCTTGTAACCTCATCCATCACTAAGGCAAACAGATAAGGGCTCAAAGCTGACTCTTGATGTAGTCCTATCCTAATCGGGAAGTCATCCGTGTCTCTATCACTTGTTCGAACACTAGTCATAACATTGCTGTACATGTCGTTAATGAGCCCGACGTACTTCGTTGGGACTTTTGTTTGTTCAAAGCCCACCACATAACATTCTTTGGTATTTTATCATAAGCCTTCTCCAAGTCAATAAAAACCATGTGTAGGTCCTTCTTCTTCTCCCTTTACTGCTCCATAATTTGTCTTATTAAGAAAATGGCTTCCATTGTTGACCTTCTGGGCATGAAACCAAATTGGTTCATAGAGACCCGCGTTATTGCTCTCAAGCGATGCTTGATAACTCTCTCCCATAGCTTTCCCCGGTAATTAGTACAACTTTGAATATCCCCTTTATTCTTGTAGATCGGTAACAATATACATCTTCACTCGTCAGGCATCTTGTTCGATCAAAAAATATGGTTGAACAGCTTAGTTAGCCATACTATAGCTATGTCCCCTAGGCATCTCCACACCTCGATTGGGATACCTTCCGGTCCCATCGCTTTACCTCCTTTCATCATTTTCAACGCATCTCTAACCTCAGATTCTTGGATTCTCCACACAAAGCGTCTATTGGTGTCATCAAAAGAGTCATCCAACTGAAAGGTTGTGTTCGTATTCTCACCATTGAACAATTTGTCAAAATACTCTTGCCATCGATGTCGGATCCCATCCTCCTTCACCAAGAGATGCTCTCTTTCATCCTTAATGCACCTAACTTAGTTGAAGTCCCTTGTCTTTCTCTCACGAACCCTAGCCATCCTATAAATGTCCTCTCCTTCCTTTGTACTCAAATGTTGGTAAAGATCCTCGTGCGCTCTACCCTTTGCCACACTTACAGCTCGCTTTGCAGTCTTCTTTGCTACCTTGTACTTCTCTATGTTGTCCACACTCCTGTCATGGTACAAGCGTCTTCTTGGCTCCACATCAACATGGTAAAAACCTAGCCCTCTGTTAGCACTACCATAGTGGTGTTTGTACCCTTGCTGGAGAAGAGCGCCGGTTGTGGAGTCTAGCAGGAGCTAAGGGTCTGTCCTCTTTTGATTTTTAAGGCGCGAATGTAATTGCTGAGTTTTGTGGGGTTGTGTGCGGCGTGTGTTGTAGGGCTCTAGCCCCTTTCTTTCTGCTTAATATAATGATGCGCAGCTTTCCTGCGTTTTCGAGAAAAAAATAGTATTGTGCAGCAGTTGGAGGTTTCAACGATTCAGGACAATGCCTGATGACAGATTCTGGGACTGTTGCACACTGAGCTATAGTGACCAATCTATCCACAGTTGTAACACACTATCTGAATGTTCTTATCTCGAGCAACCCCAGAGCTTTCTTCTAAGAGATCTGTCCCACAATTTCTGATCAGGAGCTAGAGCTTTGGTATGCTGAGCTTGTCTGACCTTGGCCCTGGGGGTTGCCTTAACTGCTTGGCCACCCGGAGGAAGGGGGGGGGTTTGGATGGGAGGTTGTGGGCGAAGCTGGTGCTAGCTAAGTACCTGAACTGCGGCGGCAGCAGATGATTGAAGAAGCGTGGGCGCGGTGGTGATGAAGGATACTGCAGATATTGGTTCCAACCTCCACCTGCCCATCTCTCCTAGTCTTCATCAGGGCTGTGCGTCCTGGGTCCGTGACCTCTTCCTCTTCCAGCCATCGAATCCTTCACCACCTTGACTAACCTCTTCCTCTGGTCTTTCCCCCAAATCGAATTAGCAAAACTTATCTTCGTTGGCTGTAAATCCCACCAATCTCCTCCAACTGGGTAGCAATCGCTCACATTGAAGGATTTGGCCTTCCCCAGCTTGCTTCTTATCCACATCAGAT